CACTGAAAAGCTCAGAAGCATAAATATGTTGCAACTGCTAATAGCCCTTTAAACTTTGATCTCTACCTTACCTCTGTGAATTTTTCCCCCTTCTCCTATTTCCATGTATTTCTACCAGACTTATCACGATCTGCTTCTCTGCACTTTATTCTGTCTCCTATTCTGGATATAATTAAGGGACTATGTACACAGTCCACATGTTTACATCTACCTGAATCTTTCTGAAAAATGTAAGAGGCTAAGTGTCCTTTATTCCTATATTTAAAAAAAAAATCAAAGTGATGGAAAATAGCAGCTGCCTCTGCCAAAGGACTCCAATTCATCCCTTGCAGAAGAGTCTCACACGGCTGTGCAGACGACCAGTTTCCAACTGCCTATTAGAAACCAGAGAAGTCAGAACCAGGATTAGCCCGGACCATCACCTCATTCTAAATAACACAGCTTCATACATGCATCTTAGCATAACCTACTTTCAGAGTGTCTATGTACCTGTCCTGATCAAAAGTAGGATCATGAAATATCAGTACTGTCCCAGAGAACTGCCTTGGTTGCCTATGAGGACCAGAATACAGAGACCTACACAGATTAGTACCATTCCTTGAAAAAAGCCCACACTGGGATTACATGACAAGGTTTTCTTTTCCTTTTTTTTTTTTTTTTAAAGAATAGGTCTTTTCTATTCTTTGATGGTCTCATGTTTTTTTTTTCAAGTGGTGCTATACAGAATTCCACAGAAGTATAGCAGGAATTAGTTTGTAAGAGGTCCAAAAAAGACAAATATACATAAGTGAAGGATAACTTGTTCATCCATTCTAAAATATCCTTTGCAGTGGTCAGCTACAGAAGAGGGTATTTTGGAAACCAGTGGTTACATTCTGAGGGAGTAGTAAGAAAGAAAAAAGAGGACACCAATGCAGGAACAGGGGGAAGAGTTAGACATCTTCTGGCAATATTTCATTCAGCTTAATTACTTCTTCTTTTGGATACTCATACAATCTGCTGATTTCATTCATTTAGGCAAGTATAAATAATTGCAAATAAGGCCACAACAAAAATATTACATGCATCCAGATCCAAACAAATTTTCTTGCTCCGTTAACTCAGCAACATCAAGGAGGAGGAGGATTATTTTCACACATGTGCTCTATATTTTAGATAGGTCAGATTAACAAAGCAAAGGGGGCAACCTGCACCAAGATAGGTTGTTAGGAGACTTTGAATTTCTCTCTCTCTATAGTATTCCAGCCCAAATTACCTTACAGGATTAGTCTTCTGGGGGAAAAAAAATTGGAGAAGGGAGTACTATGTACTTAAGCTTCTGGAAGAAAGGCTGAAGATAAATCTACCAAGTACATGAAAATCAAATACCTTAAAAACTTTAGCTGTACCTTAACATCCAACATAACATAGATATGGCTTGAGGTCACTAAATCCAATGTCTTCTCTGTGCAAGAATCCAAATTAAAATCTCTTTGATGGATAACTACCTAGCCCCCACTTGAATATATCCAGCAAAGGGGAGCTCACCACTTTCCTGGGTAACTGGTTAGGAATTCTGTTCTAATTTTCTGAAAATGGAAAAAAGTGAAATGGTGATTTCTGGATTTGATGATTGAAAAAAGATTGAATAAGGGACTGAAGGGATTACTGTAATGTTAAGGAGGGAGGAGGGATAATGAATTTGTAATTGCTGTAAAGAAGGGCAAAGTCACTTCTTTAACTATCTTTTTCTTTCTTTAACTGTATTCTTTTCTCTTTTCTCTCTTTTCTT